ATGCTTTTATTCATGTTGCTGTAATATGTTGTTATTAATATTTGATGCTGTGATCTTTTTTTGGTAAGCACTTTGATAACAGTTACTGTTTTAAATGTGCTATATAAATAAATGTGACTTGATTGATTTGACTATATATATATATATATATATATATATATATATATATATATATATATGGTGCTGTTTTTGTATGACAACCCCTGCGATAAGGATGCCGGTGGCACCAGCACAATGTTATGACGTCACTTGTGCCGTTGAGTTTAGATTTGTGAAAATTTACAAGTTTGCACTGTTCAAGTGTTGTCATTGTGTTAGTGAGAGTAAATGTCATGAACAAATTTGACATTAAACATAATCCAAGTTGAAGTGTTACATCATTTTCAGCCCCTCCTTATGGCATCATTTATTAGTAGGCCAAATTGACAAAGACCATGCAGAAGACTGTAGTATTTTAATTCCACAGCACAGAAAGCTGTGTAGTTTCTAGGTCTAGGAAAAAAAAACCATTAGTATTGGTATTGGTTATTGGCCAAATACGTTTTAACATATTGGCATATCGGATATCGGCCAAAAATTCAATATCATGCAACCCTAATCATAATGCTACTTATTGTGTGAGTGCTTGGCTTAAAACTTTACAATTAACTATTGGAGTTAATCCTGTTTGTCTGTTAGCAAAATACCTCACAAACCATTAAACAGAATTTAATGAAATTCTCGGAAATTAACTGCTGGAGGCACATTGTTACCTAATTATATTTTGAAGTGTATCTAATTTAAAATGGCCACTACATCTAATCAGCATCAGTCGACACAAACATGGCTGTAACTCAGATAGTTTGACATATACTCATCTAATGTCTGGAGTGGTAATAGTTGAGAGTCATCCTCGACATATGCTCTGAGCAAGACATCTGGCTTTAATTTCAGGGACTGAACAAAATGGCTACAACTCTATCATGATGAACATAAATTGACGTTAGTCTAAAACTCTGACATGAAAGGTGGCAGACAATATGCATTCCTTCAAGAAATGCCTCTAATGTACCCTTCAATATGTCTGATCTCATTCAGTCAGTGATTTAGCAACCAGCTCAATTAAAACGACTTCCATTATGACTTTATAGGTCAATAAATTAGAGCATTCAAGCAACAAATGAACACTAATCAACATTAAAATTTTGAGTAATGGCTTTAAAGGGGAGAGACTCTGGTCACAGATTAATTGTCTTCTTCTTGTTGGTTTTGGGGTTTTAAATAAGAGACAGCTTTTCTCTCTGCCACGGCACTTTGTGTTGCGTTTGGCAACATTTGCTTATCCACTCTGACACATTGATGCCAGAGGATAAAGCCATCAAAATCCCAGCTTTACATCAAACGTGGCCAGCAGGGCTTTACAAGCAAGTCATTATAGGATTAATTGTCAAGCCACGGAAATAAAAGAAAATTGTTGAAAGGTGGAAAATTTACTGAATAATTTTTTTTTAATGTGGAAGTGCTGCTGCATTTATTGGAAAAGTTGTGGACCCAGAGGATTTAACGGGTTTGCATGAATCCTCTCACTGACGCAAACAGATCCAAGCTAAACAGAAAGACCGGACCTACATTTGTGAAGCTGCCAGTCTGCCATCATGAATAAATATAATAAACTGGTTTTATTCTAATGTTGCTGTCTCATTTCACAATGTAATCCTGCCATTCACTCCACGCATAACTGAAAAATGGATCTACAGGAAAAAGTCTTGAAAGATTTAGATGCTTTGCACAACTTGTTTAAAGATGATGATCTTTGCTTTTATTCAGCTGTCAGAGATTCTTGTTTTTAAGTGTTGTGATAGTGATAATATTTTCTATACAAACAAGATATTAACTTTGATTTGCAAATACTATCATGAAACAATGTATTTTTTGTTAGTTTTATTATTTGTTGTACAGAAGGAACATCGTCTCTGCCAGATTTACTCTACAATACATCTGCCTACAAGCACTCTAGTATACTTTTAGGTCTTCAGTCAACTAAACCACTGATTTTATGTTATTACACCTACAAAGACTCACAGGTGTTTGACATACCAAGGACTATTTCATTCATCCATCCCTGAGAAACTTGAATCAGCGTCTCAGTGACTGAATGTTTCCCCCTGCTGGTTCAATTTAGGCAAATAACTTGGTGTCATGATAGAATACAAATAAAAGTTTTCATTTAAACTAATAAAAATATGAAGTTTTAAGGGCATAATTTTCATTACATAAACAGAACGAGAAAAAACAAAAAAAAAAACTATCAAAACAAGGTATTTTCTCATCAAATTTACCTCCAAGTTTTGATGTTTGTGTCAATGGGCTCTTGTTGAATGACTAGGGCATTTTAAATGTGTACAATATTTTTTTTCATGATTTGTCAGATATTAAATAGACTGTTTACAAATGCAAGTGCTTCATGTGATAACTAGCTTTTAATTTGATGCAAGCAACACATAGTCTGCATACAGTGTGCATGCACATAAATAGCTGTAGTGATAAAGTAATATTCTACATTATATTAAGAAATGTATGAGCTAGACTGGGTGTTAAAGATTAAATTGTTTTTCACAATACATAAGTAGTCCTCTTCATTTGACGAAAATACACAGTTAGTTTTTAAAATCACTGCCAGTAATGCTTTTTAAAACAATAAGTATTGGGAAGATTGACCAACAAATGAAACAAAACAATTTGCATTATTTATTTGTGTTATATAAATTATTCAGTCATTGATAAGTTAAATTTAAACAACTGGTGTGCTAAATAAAGTTGCTATTGCAGAATTGCTTTTAATTATTATTAATACAGGTTAGTTAGTTAGTTAGTTAGTTAGTTAGTTAGTTAGTTAGTTAGTT